GAAATACTGGTCGTGCATAAAAGAAGGGGCCGTGTCCTTTGAAGACAAGAGACGTATTTTCCTCAGGGAAGAGAAATAAAAGCCTTATGCATGATTGCCTTTTTAATTAGCTTTTCAGAATTATCTAAAAGAACGAAATCTTTACTTCAGAAGTTAGTGCTGAGATTTACAAAGTAAATGAGCTTTAATGAGAGATCTGAATTATGAGAATATCACTCTATACATGTTGGCTGTTTGTACATATGTATTTTCTCTAAGGGTAAGGAGAATAGTCCAAGAAAGGTCCTAACAATATCAGAAGAAGTGTTTGATGCATGTTAAAAGCCTTTATGCTTCTAAATTTTAGTAGTTGAATTCTGTATACGTTAAGGATGGTTGTAACAACAAGGAGTCCTCAGAAAACAGGCACTGTAAATAGTTGAGGAGGAGAATAACAGTGACTGAGTGTAGGGGGAGAATCAGGAGATGTAAAAATATCTTGTTCTCTGCAGTGGGACTGGACAGCAGCTTTAACGTAGAGGTGGAAGGAAACAGAAGTGTGTCACAAAAGCATGAAGTTTCAGGAGTAGAGCAGATGTTGAGATACTGTGGAGATGAAGACATGGTACACTTTGCAGAGAAAAATGAAGATTTGATTCACGTAGGCAGAAAGATTTTGAGCATGAGTTTAATATTTGAACTTCACTTAGAAACTGTAATTTGATGTTGCTAAGTAGAAATGCTACAGTGGAAAAAGTCTCAGTGACATTTAATTGTCTGTTTGGAGTTCAGTTTTAAAAGATGCCCAGTTTCATGTGTGTTTTCTGAACTGTGGTTTTGTGTACCTATAAACATTCAGAATTCGGCAAAGCTGATGAAAAATGTGCACTGCTATAATTATACTTCTTTGGTTCAAGAAAATAACCAACCCAGCAAACTAACCAAGCAAAATTCAAAGCAAAGTGGAGAAACACACTGTTCATCTTGAGAGACTGACAGGGCTAATAATTGTTTTTCAAACTGCAGGTATGTTCAAAAGCAAGAAAACACGAAAAGTTGCTATGGAACAGTCAAAGCCCACAAGTTTGGATCAGGTCCCAGACGAACCATTGGATCCCATACCCTCTGTCGTTGTTGACCATGACAGACTAAAGGTAATGAAACTGCAAAATTAATTAGAGCTGGTAATGAAAAATTAGAACTGGCAATGAAAAATGCTTCCTTCCTCTGCTATGAAGCAACATTTCCTTTTTTTTTAATGCAAACAAAATATTATGGCAGCAGTAACTTTTGAAGATGATTTATCGATCGGTGGTTTTTGGATGAAAAGTTAATGAAACTACTGAATCCTGACTGTCCCATCATTACTACCTTTACAAATCCAGTAATGGCACAGCAGTCCACTATTTTAATTGCAGTTTTTGCAGGTACTCTTGTGTGTTAATTGGACTTGCCAGTTAGTGAGGAACGGCTGGGTGCCTGGTAATTAGGAGTTAACATCTTTTCTCTTCCCGTGTACGTATACTGGGTGGAAAGAACTGTTAGCGGATTGGAAAACAAATTGGAATTTGTGCTGATGTTTTGTCGTCACAGAATGAACCCCTGCTAGTTAATTTTCTTTCAGTTTTGTCTTCTTTTAAGCAAAGTTACAATAAAATTTGCTGTCTTCTGTTGTAGAAACTAGCTTGACCTACTAGAAAATGTAGATCCCACTGGCTGTGGAGTACGGATGATCATCTTTTCAGCAACAATAGAAGTGTTATGAGAGGAAAACATTCTTAAAATTTACTGTCTGCTACGATGTAAAATACACCCTTTCACCTTTTGTTTATGAGCAGTTCTGCATGTGTTGTCCCCCACCTTTCCTTTATTGTAGCATTTTTCAATGTTTGTGGAATTCCAAATGTGTTTCCATTTGGTGGTACTTATGATTTCACACCAATGTAAGTTCTTTAAAATGTCTGCTTCAGCAATCAGGGCAGTTTTTGTGGTTTGCTTTGTCATAATTATTGACCAAGATGGAGTAGGATGAAATACCGTTCAAACAGAACAAACATTGCCCCAGCTATACTGAGTATAAAATCTAAGACAAGGAAGAAGTGTGGGTATAAACAGAAGTGAAGAGAGACATTGAGTCCTTTTAGATCAACATGGAAGCAGTGGCCTTACTTATAACCAGATGTGGCTGATTTTATTTGCATGTATCCCTCCAAAATAGGGCTTCAGAAGGAGATCTTATTTCTGATTTGTCGTTACAAAATTAAAAAAAAAAGATTATAAAAGCCCTCTTAACTTTACCTTTTGTTGTTCCAACAGAAACTCCTTGATTTGGTGGTTAAGAAAAGTCACAACCTGACTGTTGACCAACTTGAGAGATTGTATTCGCTCCTCAGTCAGTGCATCTACAGACATCGTAGAGACTATGACAAATCACAACTTACAGAGGTGATGTTGTGCAGTTTCTTTTATTTTATCTGAATTTTGTGAGACTGGTTTTTCAAGAACTAAGTTAATGTATCAATTTACTGTTGTACTATCAGGCAAAAGCTTTAAATAGACTTTGAGGAAGGTATCTATAAACAGGAAAAAAGTTTAGTGTAGTAATGACTTAAGAAACAGGTAGTTTCTAGTACTGTCAGCAGAAAAGGAGTAAGAATTTAACCTAAAAGAATGGAGGAAAAAGAGGAGAGAATACAGTAGGATGGAGAAGCACATGCTAGGGGAGTAAAAATGGAGTAAGAGTTTCCATATTTGTGTTACGACTAACAGTGGGCAGAAAGTGGCTACTTTACAGCTATGCTGAGCCAACGTTGCTGCCACTGCCCTTACTTGCATATGCATGACTGGGCCAAAAAACCTCCAGAAATGTACCAGTGTAGTTCACTGGTTGTGACTTTCAGACAAGACCTTAAAAAGTTTGCAGACTTTCTCTAGATGGGTAAGTATACCCTTGGGAAAGTCCAATACGGCTTGATGTAAGCCAGTGGTCTGCTTTGCTGTCATCCTTTGCCTCTGAAGTGTTTGTTATCAATGGCCTCCTGTCCATGTCAGCAGTGAATTGGTCGTCTCACCATTGGCGTAGGCTGATCCTAACTCTGGACATGTATTCCCTCCTGCATCACTCTTTTGGCTGGAGAGGTGTTTGGATCAGCTTCTTGATGCAACTGATAACCAACCCTGCTGGGAAAAGGACAGTTGCTAGTTTCCTGTTGGGTCGCTGAACACTAAATGGTTCTTTCCATAAATATTTTACAAGAAAACCTGGAAAGCGCTTAGCATACGGTATTGTAGTGTTCCGGCAAAATACTTTTCAAACCGTTTTCATGCTATTCCTCTGCTGTCTTCACCTAAAAATATGTTGAAAGTCTGTTCCAAATGTTAGGTAGATGAAAAAGTCATTTATCCAGCAGGAGTATGTAGAGACTGATCTTTACTTTGATTCTCCAAACTGCAGATATGTGTTTACAGCTGGGTCACTGATAGCATAAGTGTGCAGTAAGACTTGAATTCTTGCAGTGTGCCGCTGCAATGCTTTCTTAATACATATTGAGTACATTAATTATATAAGTGACCCTAATACACTTTGATTTTCTCATGGACCGTCATAGTGGAGTGCTTTTATGCATTAATACTCCTTTAATTAGTTTCCTCTTTTACCGTATTTTGCTGGCAGATTGCAACTAATAAACAGAAGTGTCTATTTTCATATTAATTATTTGTTCAGATTGAAAAAAAAATAGCCCAGTGTATACAATTATGTAATGTAACTTTATTCCTGTCTCTGTGTACTTATGTATAATTGATGCCCTGTCTCTTGCAGGAGATGGAAAGAACAGTTCATGTGTTTGAAACATTCCTGTGAACTCGTCAAGATGGGTGGGTTTATCCTCTCAAACTGCTCATGGGAGAGCAGTCCTCTGAGCCATTCAATTTCCATTTGCACCAAGTACGTGCGGAGCCTTGGTCTTAAGTGCTCTCTCTTTTTCTTTCTGTTGAATTTGGTGCTATCGTCTCAGGTACCTGAAACCAACCAGCCTACAAGAACCAAACGGAACTTCATATAGTTGTATCTGATATAAATAAAGAATACAATGCCACAGCTTGGAGATTTTTGGTGCTACAGAAACTGTTCTCACTTCTGCTCTTGTTCACTCTACATGCATTATTATATTTGGGGAAACCAGGCAAAGTGGAGACCAACACATACAAGAGAACTGGAAAGAGCAGATCTAAGTTGAATATTTTTAAACAGGCAGCCTTTTTTATTTTTTTTTCCAATTTTTCTCTTCTCTGGGGTAACGGACAAAAAAATCTGTTCTAAGAAGGCAATGATGCATTGTGGTAGGAATCTTGAGTAACTGGATGTACAGTAATTTGAAGATGAGGCTCTCTAGAACTGCCTTTAATGTGCCTTTTAGTCAATTGAGAAAGATAAGGCTAATCAATTGGTTTGGATTATAGCAAATGAGAATGTTAGAAAGCTGTCTTCAGAATGAAGATCTCCAAAAGGATGATTTGTGTTCTCTTCATTGGATGGCAACCAGTGTTATGGTTCTATAATGCCTGTCTTGCTCTACAGAACTAAACTAAGACACACTGAAAAAGCCACATACTTTACCAAAATGGTGAAATTCCTTTTTCATTGGTATATATTTGTTTTAGAAACAAGTTACACAGTGAAACTGTTCTGTGTTGCTAAAAATGAAGCATTTTCCCACCGTCTCTCGGTTTTCCATTTTGAGTTCTTTAAGAAAACCAAGTTTAATACGGGCAGGTTTCTTTCTGAAGTTCCATGTTTGTAATGTAGCTTGGACTGTGCGGTGCAGGTAAGAAGACACTATAGCTGGTCAAAGCCCTGGAGCCCAAGCTCACTTGAAAATAAAACTTAAACTGGGCTTCACAACTTGGTCTGTGCAAAGCATGGGTGATGTGGGGGATTGGAGGACAGCCTTTTGATTCGGTCTGTTTGGACCAACGATCTCTGGGTCTGAATTGTGTCGTTCAAAACCTTTCCTTTCTGGAGACTGGAGAGGACAGTCTAGGCAGTTTCAAGAAAAACATGTTTCATCACCAGCTCAGTATTTAAACGTTACCTGGGCTGATTGATTTCAAACTGACGTGGAAGGTGTTTTAGAGAGAAGTTAGCTGGTGTTCCCATCGTTACCCATTCATTGTGACTGTCCCTATGTAGCTGCGGAAGTGTCTTTCCAGAAATATGCAACACAGTGTGATTAGTTTTTAATTAGAGAAAACAGTCTTGGACTACTGCAGAGATACTGAGCTACCTCAGCTTTTTGTATTTTAGTTACCAACAGTGTTCATGGAGGACTGTAATCACTCTGCTCCCATTTACAAGCTGAAGCTAAGGTACTTGTCTCCACCTGTCCGGCTGAAAGTAGTGTAGCGCTGCAGAGAAACAAAACATGGGCCTTGGGCTACTGCAGTAATCCAAAGTGCTTTGTATATTATGGTTCGACAGAATTCTTTCTTAGATCTTTTTCTCCCCTGAATGCCACTTGTTTTTCTTCATAGCTAATGGCAGAAAAAGGTTTCAAGCATTCACGTACATCTAGTTACACCTTCTAAATGCAACCCATGCAGAAACACTGTATTTTTTAGGTGGGAAAGTGCGATTAAAAAACAGCAAAAACAAGCAGAAAACACGTTTTAAATGAGATTCTTTGATCTCAGATTTGATTATGGGATTTTTTCCATGTTTCATTTAGTATTTATTAGCATCATACCTGTTTGAGATATTTTTGTGTCTGGTACATTAACAGCATTTTGTATTTTGATGGAAATTGTTACAAACTTTAAGATTTGATTAAATGAAATGTAGCAGATTTTTTGTAGCAAGTTTCTGATAAAGGGGTTTTTTGCAAGTCTCAGGTTCTTGCTGCAGAATTTTTTAAAAATATTTATTCCAGTTTCACTTACTCAAAGAAGTTTTTGTTCAAGTAACAGCAGCACTTGTGGAAGATAAAACCGCATACATTTTTAAGAAGATAATAAATTTATATGAATAAAAACAGTTGAGGATTTTTGTCACCAGTGAGTGAAGACGAAGTTGAAGCTCATGCCTAGCGTTGCAAATGGTTCTAAAAGGTCAGGTTTCTAAAGGAAAATTCTTACTGTCAGTTGTTGATTGGGAAAAATCTTAAAAGGCATCTTTACTAATTGAGGAGCTGCCATGTTGTGTTAGAGAAAAGTAGCTGGTATCAGATGTTCTAGTGGACAGCTTTCCTAAAATGATACACTCGCCTTCCTAGCCCAAATAACCGCACTTCAGTTTTTGTTTTCCTTTACAGATGTCTGGTGGTTATAGCGTTAAAACAGCTGTTAATCTATCCATGTGGTCTAAACTTGTTTACTCTTTGTATGTTTTTAATTTTTTATGTTGCCGCATAGCACTGGCAAGCGTTTGTACAAATTGACCTCTCTTCCTTGTTTCTTGTTGTGAAAATTGCAAATAAACTCCTGTGTGAGTCCTTGTGCTGGGGTCAGTGAAACGTGGCTGCCCAGGAGAAGGGAGATGGGGCTGTCCTGGAGATGACAGAGTTGCTCTTGGGTGAAGTAGATGGCTATGGAGTTAATTGTATTTGCAAGCTTGAATCTCACCTGTGATTAATTTCTTGTTTGGTTTCGTGTCCTCTGTACTGTTACTTGATTTCCTCATATGCCAATGTATTTATAGGATTACTGTTTTTTGTAATATCTTGTCTTCCTTTTTTTTTTTTTTTTAAATTAAGTTGGTGGGTCAGCTCTGGTTTTACCTTCAGTCTCTCCTGAACGGCAGGTCCTGCAGCTGATAGTCATTTATTTCGTTTTTATTTTGTTTTGTAATCACACATAAGCTTGAATTTGGGCTTGTACTTGCATCTTTTGTATCTTGTACATTGGGTTATTTAGACATGGGGGAGTCCTGTTTGGTTTCATTAACGTGTGTCTACTTCGTGGATTAAGTAGACTTCCTTCATCAATTATGGTATATTTTGGATTCTATAGTTTTATTCAGAACTGTGTTTAAATTGATGTTTTGCATTTTGCATTTACGTTAGTTTGAAGTAAGTTATTTAATTTTTTGAACTTCTGGAAATTTTGAACATTTTACTGTAATTTGTAATATAACTGCTGTGAAATACTTGAATAAAGATGACAAGAAAACACAGCTTTATCTCCTTCAAAAATGTATTTAATAGGAGTGCTGCCTAATAGCTGATATCGGTCTCTTTCTTACCAGACCTCCTTGATTTCACAGTTCAGATATTTTTCTTGGGGATCTTGCTGTTTAGTTGTTTAAAGCATAATTTTGCTTTCAGTGTTTGTCTACTAAAGAAAAAAAATAACACATTCATGAGTTTGAGTGACAAAGTGAAATTAGCCCTGTACGTTGATGAGTTAATGCAGTTGTTATGAAGTTAAGCTCTGTGTTTGGGCTGTGTTTTGTGTTCAGTTGCAGGGTACCACCCAGGACTGCTTATAGAGCGTCAGCGTCCCAGTAATTCCAGTTCCTCATTAGAGGTTTTTGTAAAGAAATGCTCTCTTTCCTCTCTGTTTATCAAAGTCCTTACTTTTTGTGTTGGTTTTTTTTATTTTTTATTTTTTTTTTTAAAGATAAACTTCTAATGTATCTAGGAAATCCTTTAGTTCCTGAAAATAGTTGATGCACAGGAGAGCAAGCGGCTAGAGGTTATGCAAGCGAAGAATCAACTCGCATCTTACTCAGTGGTAGTTTATCCAGAGCTAACAAACTGCATGTGATGTGTGTAATGTGGAACAGAGCATGAGAAGCTGTTCTACAAATCTGTTACGGCCTCTCTTGAGGTACAGGACATAAATCACACCTTCTCATTTTCCTCTCTTCCTTTCTGTGTACCTTAAACTATGGGGGTCCTGGGCACACAACTAGTTGAGGAAGCAGATAGTAGTAACTTGTTTCACATCTGATGCCAATTCTGCTTTTATTTGCAGCTTTGAAAGCACAATTGGCTGTTAAACAAAATATATAACTTACTCTGTAAACACAGTAATGTAGTAGTTGATCAGTGAGAGCCCTGGCTTGGTGGTGGTGTATCTGAATGGCAGATACCAGCACTACATTGAACACCATCCAAGGGTTTTTTGGGCTGTGAGTAAGGACTGAAGGGCATGAGGTCTTGTGTATCTGTTTGTCTTTCAGGATTGGTGATGGCCACGTTAACAGAACAGTTTCAGGCCTGATTTCTGACAGTGGCTGTAAAAATAATCAGTGAAAAGGGACAAAGCTGTGCTTTATTTGGGCATCAACAAGAGGATTCTTGTAAAAATAGTTCCCAAACTTTGGTGCATCGAAAGCATGAGTTAGGAATAGTTGGTTTGCATCATGTGTTGTTCATAAAGCCTCAGTAAAAGTGTGTGCATCACTCACATTTTCCAGGTGTTCACTGCTTCCTTCTGCTGCTGGTTTCTGCCTTCAATGTAGTTTTGAAATGCAATTTCCTGTATTTCCATGAATTTCTAGTGCTGCACATCCTCTGTTTCCTCCTTTAAGCTCTTTGGATAATTTATTTAAATAAATTAAAAATTAGATCCTTTTGTTCTCTATCTTGGGTAGGATTTGGATTTGGACTTGTAATTTACGGGGTTTTAAGTTAGCACTGTATGTGAATAAATTTTGAAAGCTAAATCAGTAAACTCATGAACTGATTAATGAAGCCAAACACTTCTTTTTTTTCCTCTTGCTTTTATGCATCACTTGTGGTCATGTAACTATTATGTAAAAATGAGGGATTATAAACTTTAACACTAATTAATTCAGCCTCATTCCATTTCTAGGTGAGTAATTTTTTTACAGTGTGATCATTTACATAAAGAGTGTATTTC